TGTCCAGCACCAGTGTCCAGCACCAGTGTCAGCACCAGTGTCCAGCACCAGTGTCCAGCACCAGTGTCCAGCACCAGTGTCCAGCACCAGTGTCCAGCACAGGTCACCCCAGTGTCCAGCACCAGTGTCCAGCACCAGTGTCCAGCACCAGTGTCCCTAGCACCAGTGTCCAGCACCAGTGTCAGCACCAGTGTCCAGCACCAGTGTCCAGCACCAGTGCCCAGTCAGCCAGTGTCCACAGCAGCACAGTGTCCCAGCACCAGTGTCCAGCACCAGTGTCCAGCACCAGTGTCCAGCACCAGTGTCCAGCACCAGTGTCCAGCACCAGTGTCCAGCACCAGTGTCCAGCACCAGTGTCCAGCACCAGTGTCCAGCACCAGTGTCCAGCACCAGTGTCCAGCACCAGTGTCAGCACCAGTGTCCAGCACCAGTGTCCAGCACCAGTGTCCAGCACCAGTGTCCAGCACCAGTGTCCAGCACCAGTGTCCAGCACCAGTTTCCAGCACCAGTGTCCAGCACCAGTGTCCAGCACCAGTGTCCAGCACCAGTGTCCAGCACCAGTGTCCAGCAACCAGTGTCCAGCACCAGTGTCCAGCACCAGTGTGCAGCACCAGTGTCCAGCACCAGTGTCCAGCACCAGTGTCTCAGCACCAGTGTCCAGCACCAGTGTCCAGCACCAGTGTCCAGCACCAGTGTCCAGCACCAGTGTCCAGCACCAGTGTTCAGCACCAGTGTCCAGCACCAGTGTCCACAGTTCCAGCACCAGTGTCCAGCACAGTGTCCAGCACCAGTGTCCAGCCAGTAGTCTCCCGCACCAGTGTCCAGCACCAGTTGTCCAGCAGTTCCCCCGCAGCCAGTGTCCAGCAGTAGTCCTCCCGCAGCAAGTGTCCAGCAGTAGTCTCCCGCACCAGTGTCCAGCAGTAGTCTCCCGCACCAGTGTCCAGCACCAGTGTCCAGCAGTAATCTCCCGCACCAGTGTCCAGCAGTAGTCTCCCGCAGAAGTGTCCAGCAGTAGTCTCCCGCACCAGTGTCCAGCAGTAGTCTCCCGCACCAGTGTCCAGCAGTAGTCTCCCGCACCAGTGTCCAGCAGTAGTCTCCCGCACCAGTGTCCAGCACAGTTAAGTACTCCCGCACCAGTGTCCAGCAGTAGTCTCCCGCAGAAGTGTCCAGCAGTAGTCTCCCGCACCAGTGTCCAGCAGTAGTCTCCCGCACCAGTGTCCAGCAGTAGTCTCCCGCACCAGTGTCCAGCAGTAGTCTCCCGCAGAAGTGTCCAGCAGTAGTCTCCCGCACCAGTGTTCAGTAGTAGTCTCCCGCACCAGTGTCCAGCAGTAGTCTCCCGCACCATTGTCCAGCAGTAGTCTCTCGCACCAGTGTCCAGCAGTAGTCTCCCGCACCAGTGTCCAGCAGTAGTCTCCCGCACCAGTGTCCAGCAGTAGTCTCCCGCACCAGTGTCCAGCAGTAGTCTCCAAGTCCGCACCAGTGTCCAGCAGTAATCTCCCGCACAGTGTCCAGCAGTAGTCTCCTCCCGCCAGAAGTGTCCAGCCAGTAGCTCCAGCACCAGTGTCCAGCAGTAGTCTCCCGCACCAGTGTCCAGCAGTAGTCTCCCGCACCAGTGTCCAGCAGTAGTCTCCCGCACCAGTGTCCAGCAGTAGTCTCCCGCACCAGTGTTCAGTAGTAGTCTCCCGCACCATTGTCCAGCAGTAGTCTCTCGCACCAGTGTCCAGCAGTAATCTCCCGCACCAGTGTCCAGCAGTAGTCTCCCTCACCAGTGTCCAGCAGTAGTCTCCCGCACCAGTGTCCAGCACCAGTGTCCAGCAGTAATCTCCCGCACCAGTGTCGAGCAGTAGTCTCCCGCAGAAGTGTCCAGCAGTAATCTCCCGCACCAGTGTCCAGCAGTAGTCTTCCACACCAGTGTCCAGCAGTAGTCTCCCGCACCAGTGTCCAGCAGTAGTCTCCCGCACCAGTGTCCAGCAGTAGTCTCCCGCACCAGTGTCCAGCACCAGTGTCCAGCAGTAATCTCCCGCACCAGTGTCCAGCAGTAGTCTCCCGCAGAAGTGTCCAGCAGTAGTCTCCCGCACTAGTGTCTAGCAGTAGTCTCCCGCACCTTTGTCCAGCAGTAGTCGACCAGGAAACTGATCGTTGGGTATCCTGGCATGTCTTCTCCTTCATGGTTGTGTCTTGGCCAAATCGTTCACTTCGGGAGTTTGGTGTCACAGAAACTCTAAGTGTTGCAGCAAAACTGTGTTCGAGGTTCCTAAATTAGTTAGAAACACTTGTACTTAAACGTGAGGCTAAACAGTTGTTGCTTTGTGTTATTGTGATGGTTTATTTGTAAGATTTCTCTCCTGTTTTTCCTCTTTGTGTAAGTACGGTAAGTTTATTTTGGCACAGGGCACACGTATTTACAATTATCTTGGATAACACCTCAAAAAATCGAACAAAGGTGATCATTTCCATTGGGATCATTCATAATTTTTTTTATAAAAAAAAAAAAAAATACGCACTAGTGTGTCTGTTTATGACAGGACAGAAGGTGATCTGGGAGATCCTCAGAGTCCAGGCATGACTAGACCGTAAGTAGTCTTGTGATGGCCACAGAACAAGCTTGATAGAACAACAGGTGGTCTGAAATTGTCACAAACCAGTCATGACTGGACAGTAGGTAGTCGAGAATGGTCGTAGCCAAAGTACGTTGATTGTAGTTACCTTCACTGCAGCCGTGTTAACTGTAGCTACCTTCTACTGCAGCCGTGTTAACTGTAGCTACCTTCTACTGCAGCCGTGTTAACTGTAGCTACCTTCTACTGCAGCCGTGTTAACTGTAGCTACCTTCTACTGCAGCCGTGTTAACTGTAGCTACCTTCTACACCCATAACTGTAGTCACTCTTTGCTGCAGCCTCCTTAACTATCGATATGCTTTAGTAGTTGAGTGTTATTAATTCTCTTTTATAGGCAATATTTATAAGAAAAGCTTAATGGTGGAGAAATGGGATGGTGATATTCACAAGATGTGGTATTTTTCCACAAGCTTAATAGTGACAACCTGCAGGGAGGCTTGAAGACCTGTCTTGAAGCTATGGTTTATTATTATTATTATTATTATTATTATTATTATTATTATTATTATTATTATTATTATTATTATTATTATTATTATTGTTTTATAATAATAATAATATTATTTTTATTATCATTATTATTACTTGATCATGGGGCTTCAGCTCTTTTTCTATTGCTCTTGTCACCGAGACTGGTAGAGAAATAAGGTTCAATCAAGGGAAAACAATCAGGGTCTTGACATGATAGGTAGGTTGTTCTTGTCATGATAGATTGTCCGTGACATGATAGGTGGGTTGTCCTTGTCATGATAGATTGTCCTTGACATGATAGGTAATTTGTCCTTGACATGATAGGTGGGTTGTCCTTGTCATGATAGGTTGTCCTTGACATGATAGGTTGTCCTTGACATGATAGGTAGTTTGTCCTTGACATAATAGGTGGGTTGTCCTTGGCATGATAGGTGGGTTGTCCTTGTCAGGATAGGTTGTCCTTGACGTGATAGGTTGTCCTTGACTTGATAGGTTGTCCTTGTCATTATAGGTTGTCCTTGACATGATAGGTGGGTTGTCCTTGACATGATAGGTGGGTTGTCCTTGTCATGATAGGTTGTCCTTGACATATTAGGTTGTCCTTGACATGATAGGTAGTTTGTCCTTGACATGATAGGTGGGTTGTCCTTGGCATGATAGGTGGGTTGTCCTTTTTTTTTTTTCGCCGGTATTCTCCTTGTCATGATAGGTTGTCCTTGACGTGATAGGTTGTCCTTGACATGATAGATAGTTTGTCCTTGACATGATAGGTGGGTTGTCCTTGGCATGATAGGTGGGTTGTCCTTGTCATGATAAGTTGTCCTTGTCATGATAGGTTGTCCTTGACATGATATAGTTTGTCCTTGACATGATAGGTGGGTTGTCCTTGGCATGATAGGTGGGTTGTCCTTGTCATGATAGGCTGTCCTTGACATGATAGGTTGTCCTTGGCATGATAGGTAGTTTGTCCTTGACATGATAGGTGGGTTGTCTTTGGCATGATAGGTGGGTTGTCCTTGTCATGATAGATTGTCCTTGTCATGATAGGTTGTCCTTGACATGATAGGTAGTTTGTCCTTGACATGATAGGTGCGTTGTCCTTGTCATGATAGGTTGTCCTTGATATGATAGGTTGTCCTTGACATGATAGGTGGGTTGTCCTTGTCATGATAGGTGGGTTGTCCTTGTCATGATAGGTGGGTTGTCCTTGTCATGATAGGTTGTCATTGTCATGATAGGTAGTTTGTCCTTGATATGATAGGTGGGTTGTCCTTGGCATGTAGGTGGGTTGTCCTTGACATGATAGGTAGGATGTTCTTGACATGATAGGCTGTCCATAACATGATAGGTAGGATGCTATTGACATGATAGGTTGTCCATAACATAATAGGTAGGATGTTCTTGACATGATAGGTTGTCCATGACATGATAGGTAGAATGTTCTTAACATGATAGGTTGTCCATGACATGATAGGATGTCCTTGACATGATAGGTTGTCCATGACATGATAGGTAGGTTTTCCATGACTTATTTAGGATGTCCTTGACATGATAGGTTGTCTATGACATGATAGGTAGGTTGTCCATGACATGATAGGTAAGATGTTCATGACATCATAGGTTGTCCATGACATGATAGGTAGGTTGTCCATGACATGATAGGTAGTTTGTCCATAACACGATAGGTTGGTTGTCCATGACATGATAGGTAGGTTGTCCATGACAAGATAGGTTGGTTGTCCATGACATGACAGGATGTTCTTGACATGACAGGTTGTCGTTGAGATGATAGATAGGTTGTCCATGACATTATAGGTAGGATGTTCTTGACATAATAGGTTGCTTGACCTGTAGCATCAATCTGTATTATTAATAAAGGATAATTCAAACCAAAACTTCAAAATAAGGTCAATTTATTTATTTCTAGATATACATAAATGTAATTATGGTGTACTGCACTAGAAACTTTGGTCGACATCACCATTGTGTTAATCTCAGACATTTTAATGCGCTTACATTTTCTTTCAACACCTATCACAAATGCAACACAAATGTAAACAGTTTACCTCAGTGTTTTTTTTAGCTCTTGGAAGTGAAACACTGACCAGTTGTGTTTAATGTAAATAGCAGCAGAGTGTTCTAGATTTACGTCTTGTCTGCCTCGCACCATCATGGATCTTGACCATAAAAGCCAGCTGTGGTTAACGCGGCTTTCTGGTGGACTAATTGGACCCTCTCGTTTTGTCAGAGATCAATGTTTATTTAGTAATTGTATTGGTTTTTTAGAGCCACACTGTGTAGCGAACGCAACAACATGTGCCACAAAGACCATCATATTTCCTGCGCCAATGTAATAATCACTCTCTTCTCACAACTTCTTTTGTAATTCTCTCAACTTTATTATTAGTTATTACTTATTTTTGTAATGGTTTTAACAGCCTACCAAGTCGATTTTTTTTTACCCCAGCCTCTGATTTTATGCAGCTTTACCTAAACATTTGAGAAAAACTTAGTGTTTTTTTAAGAATGAGCTAGGCTATTACAACATCACTCGTAATAAGAGGACTTACTATACACATGCTATATTTATAATGGAATGCAGATGTGACACCATATATGGGAGCCTCACTCGCTAGCCTCGGGGCGAACCAGGAGCTGAGGCTAGCTGGGCGGGGTGGTGGGGGGTAGCACCAGGCTAAACATAACAACCAGCAACTCACCAATATTGACCACCACGTGTACTACGTTCTACGTGCTCCCAGTTCTGTTAAATAGACTTATTACACTCAGGTGTTCTGGTTTATTCGAAATAATGTTTTTTTTTTTTGGGTGATTAGCAGAGTGGTGAGGCAGTAATGTGGGCTGGTGATGGCTGTGACATTGTTAGGGTGAGTCCGAGGTCACTTGCTCTAAATTGCGACTTGGTGACACACACACACACCAGACTGGTGACAATACATAGCCTGGAATCACACCTTTCGTATTACTAATTCTATTACTGTTATTATTATTATTATTATTATTATTATTATTATTATTATTATTATTATTATTATTATTATTATTATTATTATTATTATTATTATTTATTAAATTCAATCGCTACAGATACATCCTGATGAAAGCTGACTGTAGTAGCCAAATTATAATCCATGGGAGGATTTAGGGGTAGTTTCAAGAGTGGGATAATTTACATTAAATTTCAGTTAGAGAGAGATAAAGTCACGCATGTTGTCCTTGCGTTATCAGCAGAGGATGACCGCCGATGAGGTAAGAAGAGGAACATCAAGGTTTGAGTGTTGCTGGGGTGGTGGCAGGCAGACTCTTACTGCTCCTGGCTGGCCATGTCTTCTTCCTGGGGAAGGACAAGATGAACACTTAGTGCCAGTTATAAACAGTGTGTATAAGGTGATAATGTTGCTTTTGTGAGGTTACACGAACATACTCAACAGCAATGATATTACACGAATAAGAGAAGGGAAAGTGAGCAATAGCAAAATGAATGAAGATAATTAGAGGAAGACCAAGATATTGGAGCTACTCTCTCTCTTACTGAGGGACAAGCCAGAGCACCCCCCCCCCCACCCTCTCCCTCTCTTCTCAGGAAACCTGTGGAGGAGATTCTCGTTTATGAAAGGGGCGATATCCTCCTTTCAAAAGGGGGTAGTGAAGGAGGGGTACAATCTCACTTCCTCATTCTTACATCTCAAAATGAAAATCGAATATGTGCGCCAAACAACAGCTCAACTTGCACGTGTACATTAGTAGGCCATCTTATATTGATTAATTATTGACCAGATGCGTGAGTGCGGAGGCGTGGTGAGACCAATTATTTGGCTATCATGCAGATCAAACCCCGCTGAAGGTATCTAATAGCTAACCGTGTTTACACAAGTGAACCCTTGTTGTTCTAAAACCTTGATCATATTCATTCTAGATAATTTCTTAGTGTAAGTAGTCAGTTAGTAAGTCTTATGTTACGTGGAATGTGTCAGGGTAAGAGAAATCAATTCCTTGACTTAATCACATAGAACTGGCTGGCACCCATGCCTTACATACATTGTGTCAGCATTATTTCTAATATCATGAGTAGAGCAAGTGAATGAAATCCCGCGATAGAGCCACTTTCGATCACTAGTGTAAAACCAACTTAGTGTTCAAAACTGTCGTCTCCACGTCGTCCCTCGCGTTCAGTCACTGGGGAAAAAACTGGAGCAAGATACTATCGAAACTGGGTAATAAAGCGCAGTGTTGCGCTTTATTACTACAGTGGATAATGGATAATGTCCCTATCGTGGATAATGTCCCTATCGTGGACATTATCTACTGATGTACTTCACAAGATGAACTCATGAACAAGTGATGGTAGTCACGTGACCATGAAGTAGTACTCGGTGCGTTGAAATAGTGGAAATGAGCACTAGTGTTCAACGAACATTCCCGAGTGACTAAACCATTCATCGTCCACCATAAGATAAGATAAGATTTTCTTCAGATTTTTAACCCCGGAGGGTTAGCCACCCAGGATAACCCAAGAAAGTCAGTGCGTCATCGAGGACTGTCTAATTTATTTCCATTGGGGTCCTTAATCTTGTCCCCCAGGATGCGACCCACACCAGTTGACTAACACCCAGGTACCTATTTGCTGCTAAGTGAACAGGACAACAGGTGTAAGGAAACGCGTCGAAATGTTCCCACCCGCCGGGAATCGAACCCGGGCCCTCCGTGTGTGAAGAGAGAGCTTTAGCCACCAGGCCACCGGGGGACCCATCACTTCGATCAAGGTGATATCAGCCTCAGTAACGCCAAGACGTCACAAAACTCCCGTTACAAATGAGCCAGGTAGGTACTATTCCCGCTTACATCCGTCTTTTAACCTAGGTGGATGTCAGATGACTAGGCCACACCGTATCGAGGTCGTAACACACGGGCGATTGCCCGATCCCAGGTAGATATCTTCCTCAATGTTCCAGGTAGCTAATATGAAGTAGTGGAATATATAATTCTTAGGGCGAAGAGTTAACTCTGGTTACATAATAATAATAATAATAATAATAATAATAAATAATAATAATTATTATTATTATATTTTTATTTCTACAAGTACATGTACGAGGTATACAGGCCTACCTGACATCAATGACATAATACTATATAGAAAGCCGCTCGTTATACAGAGCATTTCGGGTAAATTAGATCAGTTTTGTCCCAGGATGCGACCCACACCAGTCGACTAACACCCAGGTACCCATTTTATACTGATGGGTGAACAGGAACAGCAGGTGTCTTATGGAAACACGTCCCTAATGTTTTCCAGCCGTACCGGAGATTCGAACTCCGGACCTCAGCGTGAGCCGAGTGCGCTGGCGATCGAGCTACGGGACACCACCTTTCAAACAGCCCCGTGGTATACTGACAGTTAATGAAGGAGACACCCAGGCTGCGGCTGTCAACTAATAGATGCCCTTTTATGATCATGTATGGGTTATATGCAATTATCAAGTAACATTCCCATAAAACCTGTGAAGGTGATGGGACTTTACTGCAATGTTTGACGATATTCTTATTGACCTGATGAAGTCCCCCATCACTGAAGTCTCCTAGCTCAGGCTGACATCTACTGAGGTCTCCTAGCTCAGGCTGACATTACTGAGGTCTCCTAGCTCAGGGTGACATTAAATGAGGTCTCCTAGCTCAGGCTGACATTACTGAGGTCTCCTAGCTCAGGCTGACATTACTGAGGTCTCCTAGCTCAGGCTGACATTACTGAGGTCTCCTAGCTCAGGCTGACATTACTGAGGTCTCCTAGCTCAGGCTGACATTACTGAGGTCTCCTAGCTCAGGCTGACATTACTGAGGTCTCCTAGCTCAGGATGACATTACTGAGGTCTCCTAGCTCAGGCTGACATTACTGAGGTCTCCTAGCTCAGGATGACATTACTGAGGTCTCCTAGCTCAGGCTGACATTACTGAGGTCTCCTAGCTCAGGATGACATTACTGAGGTCTCCTAGCTCAGGCTGACATTACTGAGGTCTCCTAGCTCAGGCTGACATTACTGAGGTCTCCTAGCTCAGGTACATTACTGAGGTCTCCTACTCAGGCTGACATTACTGAGTCTCCTAGCTCAGGATGACAAATTTCGAGGTCTTCCTAGCTCAGGCTGACATTACTGAGGTTCCTAGCTCAGGCTGACATTACTGAGGTCTCCTAAACTCAGACTAACATTACTGAGGTCTCCTAGCTCAGGGTGACATACTGGGTCTCCTAGCTCAGGCTGACATTACTGAGGTCCCTAGCTCAGGGCTGGGCATTACTGAGTCTCCTAATCAGGCTGACATTACTGAGGTCTCCTAGCTCAGGCTGACATCACTGAGGTCTCCTAGCTCAGGCTGACATTACTGAGGTCTCCTAGCTCAGGCTGACATTTCTGAGGGGCTCCTAGCTCAGGCTTACATTACTGAGGTCTCCTAGCTCAGGCTGACATTACTGAGGTCTCCTAGCTCAGGCTGACATTACTGAGGTCTCCTAGCTCAGACTGACATTACTAAGGTCTCCTATATCAGCTGACATTTCTGAGGTCCCCCTAGCTCAGGCCCGACATTACTGAGGTCTCCTAGCTCAGCTGACATTACTGAGGTCTCCTAGCTCAGGCTGACATTACTGAGGTCTCCTAGCTCAGGCTGACATTACTGAGGTCTCCTAGCTCAGGCTGACATTACTGAGGTCTCCTAGCTCAGGTTTAATTACTGAGGTCCTCCTAGCTGGCTGGACATTACTGAGGTCTCCTAGCTCAGGCTGACATACTGAGTCTCCTGCTCCGGATGACATTACTGAGGCTCCTGCTTCAGGCTGACAATACTGAGGTCTCCTAGCTCAGGTGCATTACTGAGTCTCCTAGCTTTAGGCTGACATATTATGAGGTCTCCTAGCTCAGACTGACATACTGAGGGCTCCTAGATCAAGTGACATACTGAGGTCTCTAGCCCGGCTGACATTACTGAGGTCTCCTAGGGTCAGGGTTTACTTACTAGGGTTTCCCAGCTCAGGCTGACATTACTTGAGGTCTCCTAGGCTCAGGCTGACATTACTGAGGTCTCCTAACTCAGGATGACATTACTGAGGTCTCCAGCTCATCTGACATTACTGAGGTCTCCCAACTTTAGGTGAAAACTGAGTCTCCTAGCTCAGGCTGACATTACTGAGGTCTCCTAGCTCAACTGACATTAAATGAGTCTCTAGATCAGGCTGACATTTCTGAGGTTCCAGCCGGCTGAATTACTGAGGCTCCTACCAGGCTGACATTTCTGAGGTCTCCTAGTCGGCTGACATTACTGAGGTCTCCCCACTCAGGTGCATTTCGAGTTTCCTACTCAGGCTGCATTACTGAGGTCTTAGCCAGGCTGACTTTTCGAGGTCTCCTAGCTCAGGCTGACATTTCGAGGTCTCTTAGCTCAGACTGACATTTCTGAGGTCTCCCAGATCAGGCTGACACACTGAGGTCTCCCACTCAAGCTGACATCACTGAAGGGCTCCTAGTCAGGCTGCACACTGAGGTCTCCAGCTCAGGATGACATTACTGAGGGCTCCAACTCAGGCGACATTACGAGCCCCTAGCTCAGGCTGACATTACGGGGTTCCAGCTCAGGCGACATTTCTGAGGGGCCCTAGCCAGGGTGACATTACTGAGGTTCCCAGCTCGGCTACATTACGAGTCTCCTACTCAGACGACATTACTGAGGTCTCCTAGACAGGCTGACATCACTGAGGTCTCCTAGCTCAGGTGACATCACTGAGGCTCCTAGCTCAGGGTGACATCCTGAGGCTCCCGCCAGGTGACATTGCGGGTTCCTACTCAGGGTGACATTCTGAGGTTTTCCCAGCTCAGGGACATTACGAGGTCTCCTACCAGGCTGACTTACTGAGGGGCTCCAGCTCAGGCTGACATTATGAGGTCCCTTTGTCAGGGGTGACTTACTGAGGTCTCCTAGCTCAGGGGAATTACTGAGGTCCCCTAGCTCAGGGTGACTTACTGAGGGCCCCCAGCCAGCGAATTATGAGGGCTCCACTCAGGAGACATTACTGAGGTCTCCTAGCTCAGGGTGACATTACTGAGTCCCTAGCCAGGCTGACTTACGAGGTCCCTATAGGCTGCATTTCTGAGGTCTCCCCGTCAGGCTGACATTATGAGGTCTCCTAGCTCAGGATACATTTTGAGGTCTCCCAGCTCAGGAGACATTACGAGGGCTCCTAGCTCGGCAATTCGAGGGGCTCCAGCTCAGGCTGACATTATTGAAGTTTCCCAGCTCAAGCTGACACATGTCAACATCATGTATGAGCATCATCCTGCTCGCTGG